TGCTAGGTGACATCCTGCTTGCTGCTAGGTGACATCCTGCTTGCTGCTAGGTGACATCCTGCTTGCTGCTAGGTGACATCCTGCTTGCTGCTAGGTGACATCCTGCTTGCTGCTAGGTGACATCCTGCTTGCTGCTAGGTGACATCCTGCTTGCTGCTAGGTGACATCCTGCTTGCTGCTAGGTGACATCCTGCTTGCTGCTAGGTGACATCCTGCTTGCTGCTAGGTGACATCCTGCTTGCTGCTAGGTGACATCCTGCTTGCTGCTAGGTGACATCCTGCTTGCTGCTAGGTGACATCCTGCTTGCTGCTAGGTGACATCCTGCTTGCTGCTAGGTGACATCCTGCTTGCTGCTAGGTGACATCCTGCTTGCTGCTAGGTGACATCCTGCTTGCTGCTAGGTGACATCCTGCTTGCTGCTAGGTGACATCCTGCTTGCTGCTAGGTGACATCCTGCTTGCTGCTAGGTGACATCCTGCTTGCTGCTAGGTGACATCCTGCTTGCTGCTAGGTGACATCCTGCTTGCTGCTAGGTGACATCCTGCTTGCTGCTAGGTGACATCCTGCTTGCTGCTAGGTGACATCCTGCTTGCTGCTAGGTGACATCCTGCTTGCTGCTAGGTGACATCCTGCTTGCTGCTAGGTGACATCCTGCTTGCTGCTCGGTGACATCCTGCTTGCTGCTCGGTGACATCCTGCTTGCTGCTAGGTGACATCCTGCTTGCTGCTAGGTGACATCCTGCTTGCTGCTAGGTGACATCCTGCTTGCTGCTAGGTGACATCCTGCCTGCTGCTAGGTGACATCCTTCCCCTGTGTCACTCAGATCTCCTGGCACATATCATCGTGGCGCTCAGTTCTGGTGGCTGACTCTGTAGCATGACATGATGTGTTGTTGTTGGGTTCTTTTTTCAGAATGAGAATGGAATAGCTTGAGCTGCTGTTCAAAACACAAGCATCTAAACGTCACAGCTTTCTCGGAAATCTGATCATTGTTTAATTTAAAGAGCACACCAAAGTTCCTTACATCTCCAAACGCCGTGAAAGATGTCCTTCTAACCTTAAGAAACCTGTTTGAGAACCAGTGGGGTATAAATTTGGAGCGGAAAGAGTGAGAGAAAAAAAAAGGGGGGGGGGTCCGCCACGTGCGCAAATTGATTTTATTTATTGTGAACGGTGGAATTTTAAACCAACCACCCTGGGCTGCACTACCCTTAGCTACGTCACTGTTCTTCTTCTTCTTCTTATATTTGAGGTGCCCACGATCAATTTGTTGATCATTCTGGCTCCTGGTTTAAATTCAGAGTTTGTCTTCTCTTAGACAGGTTGCCGTCCAAGGCTAACGAGTCCCATCTACCAGGTGTTGAGAACCCTTCATCTGTGCCACCATGCTGGATAACGTCAAATGTGTACACATTTTCTTTTATCAAATGTCAATGAAGAGTGTGATGTTGAATGGACCTCAAATCCGTGATTTATTGACATGATTGATCATATTAAAAAAAAAAAAAAAAAAAATTGAAAAAANGTTGCCGTCCAAGGCTAACGAGTCCCATCTACCAGGTGTTGAGAACCCTTCTTCTGTGCCACCATGCTGGATAACGTTAAATGTGTACACATTTTTTTTTATCAAATGTCAATGAAGAGTGTGATGTTGAATGGACCTCAAATCCGTGATTTATTGACATGATTGATCATATTAAAAAAAAAAAAAAAAAAATTGGAATAACGCGTGAATTTCATGGGAGGAGTTGGATCAGGGTTTTGGTGGATTAGGCTGTTGGGCGGAGTGTGGATTTAGGAGTTTGGGAGGAGTGTGGATCAGAGTAATTGGTGTATGGTGTATTATTGTGTTTGTTAAGGACTTGAATGTATAGCGTGATTGCGTGTTGTTTGGAGAGTATTTGGGGAGATGTTGTTATTAAATGTTTGATATTATTGTGACGCATTGCGCCCTAGGGAAATGACGTATTTTTGTGTAGTACGGTGTGTTTGTCTTGTGAGTAATGGCGGTTCACGGTGTAGCTTAGTTGTGTAATAAAGATAATTTATTGTAAGAATATAATAATATAGTTTGTGAAGTGAATCAATGAAACCCCTAGACAGAACGAAGCCATCGAACCTTCGTGGAGAACCCGGTTCGTAACAGTGGTTGGGCGGAGTGTGGATTAGGAGTTTGGGAGGAGTGTAGATTATGGTATTGGGAGGAGCGTGGATTAGGGTGTTGGGTGAAGTGTGGATTATGGTGTTGGGCGGAGTTTGGATTAGGAGTTTGGGAGGAGTGTAGATTAGGGTATTGGGAGGCGCGTGGATTAGGGTGTTGGGTGGATTAGGTTGTTGGGTGGAGTGTGGATTAGGGTGTTGGGAGGAGCATGGATTAGGGTGTTGGGTGGAGTGTGGATTATGGTGTTGGGTGGAGTGTGGATTAGGTGTTGGGTGGAGTGTGGATTAGGTGTTTGGTGGAGAGTGGATTAGGTGTTGGGTGGAGTGTGTATTAGGGTGTTGGAGGAGTTTTGATTAGGATGTTTCGAGGAGTGCGGATTAGGGTGTTGTGTGGTTGGTGGATTAAGGTGTTGGGTCAGTGCGGATTAGGGTGTTGTGTGGTGGGTGGATTAGGGTGTTGGGTGGAGTGTGGATTAGGTTGTTGGGTGGAGTGTGGATTAGGTGTTGGGAGGAGTGTGGATTAGGTGTTGGGGGGGTGTTGATTATGGTGTTGGGAGGAGTGTAGATTAGGGTGTTGGATGGAGCGTGGATTAGGGTGTCGGGTGGAGTGTGGATTAGGTGTTGGCTGGAGTGTGGATTAGGTGTTTGGTGGAGTGTGGATTAGGTGTTGGGTGGAGTGTGGATTAGGTGTTTGGTGGAGTGTGGATTAGGTTTTGGGTGGAGTGTGGATTAGGTTGTTGGGTGGAGAGTGGATTAGGTGTTGGATGGAGTGTGTATTAGGGTGTTGGAGGCGTTTTGATTAGGATGTTTCGAGGAGTGTGGATTAGGGTGTTGTGTGGTTGGTGGATTAAGGTGTTGGGTGAGTGCGGATTAGGGTTTTGTGTGGTGGGTGGATTAGGGTGTTGTGTGGAGTGTGGATTAGGGTGTTGGGCAGATTGTGGATTAGGATTCTGGACTTGGTTTGATAAAGCTCTTGAACGGAGTGTTGATTCAATTTTATCTGCGACACATTAAATTGTCACCCAAAAAGGTTATTTTATTCATTTCCAATTCACAACACCCTCAAACAACAACATAACAAAACTTCTCAATACTTTCTCTTGTGGATAAAATTAATTTATTTGTACGGCTTGAAGAATAATTTGTGTATGACCTTTCTCACAGTCTTAGTGGGAAATAAGCAAGAACATTTTTCCGAGCGATGTTTCCTTTTTTTTTACTTCCCTTGTCGCACTCTGAAAATTCTGCCTAAAAAATAAAATAAAGCAAAGAATCCATATAGCATTGGATTACACGGCACATTTTCATTTTCAAACTTACATTTTCAGAGAACAGCATTGTTAATTTCGTTTCTTGTCAGTCAATTGCATGTGCTTGAGATAACATGACAGAGACAATGGCGGCAATAACTCACATTGTTGCTGCTCTGAACGTGTCCTGGAGAGGCAGTGCAAAACGATGTGTGTCGTGAAATAGCCCCAGACGGGGGCAATAGATATTTTTTTTTTAATCATCTTAGATGAGAGTGGGAGACAAGGAACAAAGCCTTTGTGACATAATCATAGTTTGGCTATAGTAGTGTTGGCGGGATCTGCAGCTGCACAGCATACTTTTGAGCGATGAAATTAATCGGATTTAAAAAAAAGAAAAAGAAAAGAGAACTTTTTTAACCGCTTAACTTTGAAGAAAAAATGAACTAAAGCTACTTGCTCTCAGGGGCGTCATTAGGTCTTGTGTAAATTTGTGAGATTTAATTCACGGGGTCACCACTGTAGTTTGACATTATGACCTTCTCTAAAGAAGTGGCGTAGCTTAAGGGGGTCAGAGAGTGCATATGTCCTCCGGCCCAAGACTCATTGGGGGTGCTTGAAATTGGTGACGGTTTCATACTCAATAGGGCGGGGCAGTTGATGGAAATTCGAATATTATTATAAATTGAAAAGTCAATCCTCTATATATAATATCCATATCTAAAACTGGAAATATTATATTATTAAAATTTGACTGTTGGTGGTATAATATTTGTAGTATTATACATATTTCTTTCTTTTAAATTTTATTAGCTAAAGGTGTTGTTTTTTTTTACTTCAGATTGTTATTTATTTGTGCAGAGTCACTTAACTTCAACTAACGAACGACCCTTACACAGGGGTCGCCTAAGACCATCGAAAAACACATATTTATGAAGTAGCAACGACAATAATTTTATGGTTGGGGGGTCACCACAAAATGAGAAACCGTATGAAAGTGACACGGCATCTTTAAGGTTGAGAACCACTGTTCTGAAGAATGCTGTCAGGCAGGGTTTCTTTCAGGCAAGCCTCGTGGGGGGGGGGGGGGGCGGGGCCCCCCCGCGGCAAACCAAGTGCCGCCCCCCCCCCCCCCCCCCTCTTTCACCGGTTACAATTAATTGAACCTATCAAATATCGTATGTCGTTACGCATTGTTAAACAAAAAAACAAAAAACAAATCTCGAAACAGATTAAATTTACGAAAACAAAAAAACAAAAACAAAAAAAAACAAATTTCCAAACAGATTAAATTTAAAAAAAAAAAAAAAAAAAAAAAAAAAAAAAAAAAAAAATTAAAAAAAAAAAAAAAAAAAAAAAAAAAAAAAAAAAAAAAAAAAAAAAAAAAAAAAAAAAAAAATCACGAAACAGAAAAAAATTACAAAAAATAAAATAAAAAAAAATAAAAAATAAAAAAAAATAAATAAAAAACAAACAAACAAAACATTGTACGGTAGCTAAAATAAAAAATTCACGTTATTTACAGTCATTAAGTGAATCACAAACTCTTTTTGCTTTACAGCCACAAAATATAAATAAACTTGATCTTGGGAGAAGAATCACTTTATTTTTGTATGGCGTTTACATACGCACGATATAAGTTTAAGCACTGTTTCCGAAGATCGAGATTAGTATCCAATGTCTAAGAAAAAAAAATAGCATGTTATTTCAATGATTAACGAAAACTATTACACTTTAAAAAAAATAAAAAAAATTCAACCCTCCTCTTTATTTGTTTGTAAAAACTAAGACCATTATTTCGGGTTCGACAATCTGTTAGCAAATTATTAATATTTATGATCGTGATTATTCATATATTGAAAACTTCTAAAACGCCTTCTTTGTCGATGGGAAATCTTCCAAGTTTATTAGATTCTTATAAGGCTACAAACTGAAACGTACCAATCAGTAGGTCTAAAGTTTTGATCAGAAATGAAGCGAAAAAGGAAAAAAAGTAAATTATGGAATGATCAAAAACTAAAATGCATTAGAACCCTCCAATTAAAGCTTGTTCATCAGATGACGCTGAAGGATGCCATGAAATGATATTTTATACACTCATCAGATGGTACAGCCATAGCCTCATAACATCATATCACGTCGAACCCTGCCTCCTCTCTATACAATCTCATCAGCTTCCAGATCCTTCTATAGCGCTTGCATCGGTGGTCGTTGTGGTGGTGGTGGTGAGGCTTGAAACGGTTGTTGTATCTGCGGCAGCCGTCGTAGCAGCGTCTGAAACTTGCAGCGTTATCACTGATGATGCTGTAGTGGTTGCATCGGGTGCTGCGGTAGCCCCGGGTACAGCCGTAGTGGTGGCCCCAGGCACTGCAGCAGAGGTGTCCCCAGGCACGGGTGCTGTGGTGGCCTCGGGTACAGCTGTAGTGGTGTCCCCGGGCACGGGTGCTGTGGTGGCCCCTGGTACGAGTGTTGTGGGTGCCGTCGCGCCGTTTTGTGTTGAAGAGGTGGCTGTGACCGGCGGCCCAGACACTGGTGATGTTGTAGAAGCAGCAGCTGGTGGTGATGTGGAGGACCCAGGCGTAAGCGTGGCTGGGCTGGTTCTTAGTGGTACTGGCGTGGTCGTCTGAGGCGTCACTTTGACATAGCACTGCTCTCCCAATGGACAGCTGTCACTGCTCGTCTTGTGGATGAAAGAAATTAAGCATTAAGCCAAAAGGTAACATTACCAAATCATTTGCTAAAGGGAATCAGATTTCTTTCAAAATATTATTTAAACTTAGACAAGTCATTCTTTCCCTAAATGTAATCTAACTCAGCAACACAGCGTTAAACCTAATTGTGATCTAACTCAGCAACACGGCGTTAAACCTAATTGTGATCTAACACATAGCACCACGGCGTTAAACCCAATTAATTGTGAGCAGTAAACATGTTTTAGATATTGCAACGTATGAAACACTCTTAAAAGACCACACATGATATGGAAGTGCACAATCAGATCCAATGTATTTCTCTTTTTTTTTTTTACGTGCTATCCGCAAAATAATGTGGCTTCTGAGGAAAAATAATTCCTGTAAAAGTTATAATGGGTATGATAATTTCTTTAAAGGGGGATTTCTTCAGGATAGGCGTTGTATGTTATATCAGTCCTTGATACTCTTTTAAATTAGTTTTCTGTGTCACCCTTAGATTTATGGGGGGGAGGAAAGATTTTTTTACAGAAATTTTGTGTTGCTTTTTTCTTCATATAGCTAGACGTCTTTAACAAAACAATGAAAGACTTTTGAAACAATTGTATAATTTTTTTAAAAAAATAATTCTTTTAAGTATCCGTTTAAACCCTATAAGGCTTGCACTATTTTCCTTTAGAGACTACTTCAACCTACTCACCACTTGGTACTCAAGTCCAGGGGACGCGGCAGAACACACCATCTTTAGATCCGTTTTACAAACTGGGAATAAGCGAAAAGGAAAAGAGAAAAAGATCTTATGGTTAGACAGCCTGATACCTTTCATTTCTTTCTGACTGTTATTTGTATAAGGTAGACGTGTCCTTGTAAATTTTTCCGTGTAGATGTGTCCCTGTAGATGTGTGCCTGTAGATGTGTCCTTGTGGATGTTTCCGTGTAGATGTGTGAATGTAGATGTGTCCTTGTAGATGTGGCCGTGAAGACGTTTCCTTGTAAATGTGTCCTTGTAGATGTGTGAGTGTAGATGTGTCCTTGTAAATGTGTCCGTGTAGTGTAGATGTGTCCTTGTAAATTTGCCCGTGTAGACGTTTCCTTGTAAATGTGTCCTTGTAGATGTGCCTTTGTAGATGTATCCGTGTAGATGTGTCCTTGTTTAATTTTTTTCTCTCGTTCCAAGCGTTTATCTCTAGATTGGTCTGTCACAGTAATGCACATTGAAAGAGTTTAACTCAATGACAGTTAACGCAAGTCCCAAATGATGGTCCTGTGTGTACGCCAAAGAAAAGGTCTCTTTAAAATACCAGATATTGGGTTTTATATGGTTCATTGGTTTAAGGATTATTTAAAGCTATATGCAAGATTCGAGAATTATGAATCAAAAAAAGAGAAAGAGAGAGAGAGAGAAAGAGTGAAAGAGAGGGTGAAAGATATAGTGAAAGAGAGAGTGAACGAGAGAGAGAGAGAGAGAGAGAGACAAATAGAGAGAGAAAGAGAGAGAGAAAGATTAAGGGAGATTACTAAATTATTTATTGAAAAAGACTGAAATGAAGGAGTGTAAGTGAAAGCTAGTTATGCGAAATGAGAGTAAGAGCCATGAGAGAGAAAGAGAGAGAGAAGGAGACAGGGAGAGAAATAGCTACAGAGAAAATGAGAGTAGTATAAGGTATATGAATGAGAAGAGAAAGATTTAGGGAGGGGGGGTAAGTGGAAAGAGCTGAACAAAGACGTTTGCCGCACGTGATGTTCGGAAGGTAGGGGGCTGTTAACGTTACATTGTGTAAGGTGTAATGGTGTAAATGTGTAACTACATTGTGTAATTATATATTACTTCTCATGACGCATCCTTTCTCAGCAATCTCCGCGTTGATTCTGTTACACGTCCATGTGTTGGCTGTTGTCACCTGTGTACAGTTGGCCTCACGGAACTTACAGTACAACACTTTCCTGCAGTACCGCTGGTTCTGTTTGATAAAGATAGGAGCAGTCCCATATATATATATATATATATATATATATATATTGATAAGAGAGGAGTAGTCCTATATCTTTATATATATAAATAAAGACATGTATATATAACTATCTATAATGCCCGATTTAGTCTATATCTATCAGTCTTGTCTTATTACGGAACTTACAGTACAACACTTTCCTGCAGTACCGCTGGTTCTGTTTGATAAAGATAGGAGCAGTCCCATATATATATATATATATATATATATATATATATATATTGATAAGAGAGGAGTAGTCCTATATCTTTATATATATAAATAAAGACATGTATATATAACTATCTATACTGCCCGATTTAGTCTATATCTATCAGTCTTGTCTTATGCATCTACACTCTTCGTGTTAGTCTATATTTATACGTCTTTGTTCAAAATATGTCCATGTCACAAATGATAGATTGTATCTGTGAGTCTTATTTGATCTATACTGCCCGTGCTATTATAGTGTGCATATCTGTTTTATTATATCTATCTGTTGTATAGATTCTATACCGTCCATGTTGGTTTCTAGCCATCAGTCTTATTCTATATATCTATATCGTCTAAGTTAGTCTATATCTATCAGTCTTATTCCATCTACTATACCGTACATGTTAGTCTACATTTATCAGTCTTTCTCTATCTATACCGTATACCTGTCGGACTTGCCAGTTGCCGTAGATCTTCTTCTCATACACGCCATTTTCCGAAACAGTTAACGTCGGGCCAAGCGTGAGAAAGATGTACAACACAACTTGGGCAGTAACTGACCGGTGGGTTTTTAGTTGGCCGGACATAATGGTAAGCTCTCCTTGGAAATACTTGGTCACTGTGGAGATAAGATTATATACAAAAATCGTATAATACAAATACAAGCATTAATTATTTTAATATTATGGGGCTTTTTTTTTTAAAAAAAAAAAGGACCGGATCACAGACTATGCTGTTTTTTGTTATGGCTTCCTAGGCCTGAAAGTTTGACACTCTTGAGCTTGTCTATATGTTGCAACCGTTTCGCGTGCCATTTCAACCGTTGACCGCGGGAATGCTCATCGCCCCACTGATTCTGACACGTCTATACAAGTCTACAGAAACTCGTTCAACTTTCGGTACATAGTAAAAGTACACCTCCTGAACCCTCGCCCGTTGTCACTTTCATACGGTTTCTCATGCTGTGGTGACCCCCCAAAAAAGGACATCAGCGGGGGCGCGTGATGTGATCACCTGCTATAACGCCAAAGCAAACCAACGCGGGGATTTAGATTCTCTTTTTTTTTTTTGGAAGAAGTTCTAGCCACGTGCTTCTTCTTAGGCAGCTTGAGTATTCTAAAGGTGATCATTTTTTCACTTGCACCACCTCGAAGAACTGAAATAATATATTGGTCTCAGATGGCCGACTATGTTTGCTATTGTGTGATTTTTGCTTTTATATTTAAAAAAACCCAACTCCGGAGACTACCAAGAGCACCAGTGGGCGGAGAATCATTCTTTAAAACGTCCAAAACAACTCTTTGTGACCACAACCCAGGGATATTATTTGTATTATAACTTTGAAACCTTAATCTCTGCATCATATTAGAAATTTGAAATGCAATCACGATTAAAATAATGCTTACCGAACTTACCCATTTAACAATCACAGGCGCTAAGGCTCCGTTATCTCTGCCGACACAAAAGACATTTACCTCGTTATGCACTCATTAATCAAGTGCACATTTACAAGACAGAATGCTACCGAAGAAAGTCATTAACGAATAATGTTCAGACCGTTTACACAACAGGTAGAGGAGCGTGTGCTGAATGCTAGCTGAATTTGAATAATGAACTATACATAAGAGTGCAAGACATGCTGTGTTAAAGAGGACTTTAACAAAGAAATGTGTGCACATGAAGATTTAACTACTTCTTGTGGTGAAATGTTAGAAGTCGGTTTGAAGGAGAGCCCGAAGAGAGTCGAAAGAAAATGTAGCGTCACTACTACATGAAATACCGTAGTAGGTTTTAAATGAAATATTTAAAAGATGCAGATGAATACAAATTTACTGAACTCATAAATACTTTGACCCAACTGCTATGTGTAAATGATAAGCCCTGAATTTATAAGAACGTTTGTTTCTGGGGTCCTGCACGGAATCTTGTTTCAGCTAACTTGACATCTGACATTGTCACAGGAACTTTCTTTTTTCTCTTGTTTAAATCTCAACTTACAACACCCTAACCGCAACACGACATCGGATTCCTCTCTATTACAGACACAGAGGCGTAGCGTGGTGGGGGTAGAGGGAGGACAGATGTCCCCGGGCGCAAGCTAGTTAGGGGCGCCAAAATGTGCCTTGATATTATTTTATTGATGAAAATAATGGGTTTGAGAGTTGAAAAAAAAGAAAAAGGGGCGCTAAAAATGGATCTTGTCCCCGGGCGAGAATCTTGTTCTTGTCCCCCGGAGCCAAACACTCTCGCTACGCCACTGTACAGACAGCAGCTATTTTGCGGACGGCCCAGGGAATAATTTATGAGCATTCCCCACGGTCTCAAGGGGAAATAAACACACACAAGACACTAATACCGGGCGATTTTCTTGTTAGCTGTCCTTGTCTATCTATCAAAGTATATATATTTTTTTTTAAATTATTATAAAGCAGGAATTTATTTAGAATGTGTCTGCAAACTTTACAATTTAACCAAAAACAATAAATGGTTATTTCTTTTCTTTTCAATTTCAAATGCAATCCCATATTATGACGAAGAAACTGGCAGCGACCACTTACCTGTTGCTGTTCCGCTTTTGTCCTGGAGAATAACTGCAAAATAATCGTCCGTGTGCTTCACTTTAGCACACTGCAAAATGTCGTCAACTAGACACAGGCGGCGACCATATTTGCATCAGCTTACCTGACAGCCTGAGACAGTGACAAAGGGTCAGTGACATAATTACATTTGGGCTACATCGGGGATGGCATTGGATTTGCAGTAGTGTTTGGCGACCTTGCAGCTGCAGAGCATAGGTGTGTACGTTGAAATTCATTTTTAAAAAAATCTTAATTATTACCAAATAACTTTAAACCCCACCCATCCCCCCCCCCCCCCCCCCTTACTAGTGGCTCGGCAGCTGACCTGTGTAATAGCCAATGGCACAAAATAACTTGTTGTTGCTAGTGGCTCAGCACTGGAGAACGGGATCACACCGAAAACGGTATCCAAAAAAATAATTAATAAAATGAATAAAGCTACTGGCTCTCAAGGGCATCGCTAGGGCTGGTGTAACATCGTTCGATCAACTCGTGGTTGCAGCATCCCTACAGACTTTAATATGGAGCTCCTCTGAAGCATAGTGCTATGAAAATGGTTTGCTAACGTGATTGTGTATGAGAAAGGTGTTGATCGTGAGTTGGTGAGAAGTTTTTTTGAGAGCGAGTTGTTTATTGAGGTCAGTTTCGTCAGTATGTTGAGTTATCGTTGCAGTGAGGAAAAAAAGAAGGGGGGGGGGCAAGTTCTCGTTGGTCAGTGAGACGAGATTCGTTGTAGCACAAGTTTTGCTGTGATAAGATCATATCAATGCAGAATTGTTTAAATTGATTCCGGTGAATGTTGTTGTTGATATTAAGTGTGGACCAAGTACGGATGCGCTGTTGATCTTGTGTGTGGACCACGTGTGGCTGTGTTGTTGATCTTCAAGCTAGAATCAGTTAGTTAAAATTGTATGTCTTTAATTAATTTTACGCATGCTACCGTATTTAATGTAGGAATGACGCATTTTTTTTTCCTTTGGATCCTCTTAGGACTCTCCAAACCAAACTCTTCCCCCTAACACATGTTTAAATCTTCATGTGAACACGTTTTCTTTGATACCTCGTCAAGTCCTACAGCACGTCTTGTACTCTTTTTTTTTTTAAAAATAGTTTCATGTTCCATTCAGCTAGCATCCAATGTACGCTCTATACCTGCTATGTAAATAGTCTGAACATTATTCTTTAATGACTTTCTTCTTCAGCATCTGTCTTATGAATGTGCACTTGATTAATGGGTGCATAACGAGGTAAATGTGCTTCATGCTGGCAGCAACAACGGAGCTTTGGCGAATTGCCTTTTTTTTTTAAATGGATAAGTACGGTAAGCATTGTTTTAATGTCGTCTCAACATTGTAATACGACGCAACGTTTGAGGTTACAAGGTTATATTAAAAATCATACCCGGCTTGAGGTCACAAAAAGTTCTTGGTAATCTCCGTAGTTGCGTTTCTTATATTGAAAATCAGGCTCTTGGGGTGGTGGAAGTAAAAAGTTATCATCTTCAGAATACTCCAGGAGAAAGTGTGAGGCTGGTCCTCTCTTTAAAAATGAAACGAGAATCTAAATCATTGCGTTGGTTCGCTTTTTGCGTTGTGTCAGGCGATGTCCTCATGCTTAACGGCGTCTATTAGCTAACCAGCTTTTTAAAAGAAACGTACACAGCGAATGGTGTAATTTTAGTTAATTTTGACTAATTTTTGCGTTTCGCTCTGGAAAATCTCAAAATTGCCTGAAAGAAATACTAAATTCAGGTGTGCGTTAAAATGTTCGCTAACAATTTTGACTATGTGTGACTGTCTTCAGCACCTTCAAAGTCTAAGCCCCTTCCCCCACGCTGATCAAAGTTAAAGTATAGGGTTAAATATAGGATTGTGCCAAATTATTACCCTGGGGCACGCCGCAACCTAAGTGAATTCAATTTATTCATGGCACTGAATGCCATAATGTCTCCCTCTGACGATTGAAAAATTTCTTCCCTAGATGCTGAAATACTGAATTCAGGTATACTCCAAAATGCAACATTTGATTTTGAAATAATCCGAATTCGCTGGGGGGGGGGGGGGGGGGGGGATCCCCCGAAAAAACCCCCTTTACTCAATAGCCAACAGTACCCTCAATTTCTGCCCCACTTCCCAAAAAAATGACAGTACAGCTGTCATTGGTCATAATTATTGTTGATGATATATTCACTATCTAGTGGAGTAGCTAGTGTTAGGGCTTATAGTTAAGCAACCTAGGGGAATAGCTAGTGTTAGGGCTTATAGTTAATCAACCTAGGGGAATAGCTAGTGTTGGTGATGATAGATACACAACCTAGTGGAGTAGCTAGTGTTAGTGCTGATAGATTCACAACCTAGTGGAGTAACTAGTGTTAGTGCCGGTAGATATACCACCTAGTGGAGTAGCCAGTGTTATTGCTACCCAAGACTTGCAAAGACTTATATGCAACGTTCCAATTAACGATAGAAATTCTGCATTTGTCATAAAATTCTTTCCCATCGATATAAAGAAAAATTGACATCTGGGCTGACCACCCAACCCGCCTAACTTGCAGAGGCGTAGCTAGAGTGTTATGCGCCAGGGGACATTGATTCATTTTTACGCCCCCCCCCCNCCCCTTCCCCCCTTAGCTACCCCTCTTGCCACTTTCCCTACCCCCTTAAAAACCTGAAAATCCCCCCCCCCCACTGGGGACATTTTCTGAAAGAAACACTGCTCTCCCCCTCCCCATGGAAAAATACTTTGTCATGCCACTTCCCCCCTGGCTATAATTAGAAAAATGCCTCACCTTTCAATAAAATGTCTCCCGGGCCTCAGCACATAACTTATTTTTTTAAGAGTCTATGTTTATAAATTCGCAGTATCCCTTCTTTGCATAAAAATACTTTATTATGCTACCTCCCCCCTTTATCCTTCATCCCCACCCCCGTTCCCTCCCCTCCCCTCAACTTCAAATGTTACTTAACCCAGCCATATTTCTATACCATCCTGTCCAACGCGTCTCGTCACCTTATCACTCAGAGACATGTCATCCGTCCCATGCAATCTTCTGCATGAAATTACCTCAACCCCACAAGCTCAACAAATGCATGTATTTAAGGTGAGAGTCATGGCGTAGCTAAGGACGCGATCAGTCTTGGATTGCTTCTTGTGTGTGCAAAATTTAAAACATGTTTTGAAGTTTATAATTTCCGTTTGTTTGTTTATAGAAAGCCGTATCTGGTAAGAACGAGTAGCTTGCCTTACTTAGCTTATCTCAGAAGTCTTATACTTTGCGGCCTGCAAGACGATATTTTGCGGCCCGTTACATGACAGCAAAGTTTAGTGTCAATGCGGCCCGCGCGCTGTCTCCATTCTCGTATCTATAATGTGGCCCTCCGCGACAGTTTCAGTCGAATCTCACCGACTAGTCTAATTCTAATTTTATTTTTGGATAGATTTGGACGTTTCGTATTCTCCATCCATGTTTATCCTCTGTTGGTCCATACATTTTCTGGAGAACTTTTCTATCCCATTTGTTTCATAGGTTTTCTGCCGTCTTTATTAGGGTCAAAGTTTCACTTGCGTATGTTACAACTGGCCTGATTACAGTTTTCTTTATAGTTTTCTTTGTTTTTTGTTTTTTTTTTTATGTTTTTTCTGACTACTGAAGTTTGCCGCCGATATTCTTTCTTTTATTTATGTTAGCCATTCATTTCTTTCATTTATTAAGGATCCTAGGCATTTGAATTAATTTAATTTCTCAAAAAGTGTGGTTTCTAATTGTAATGGTATCATCTGTCTGTTCTTCTCTTATCATAGGCATATATTTTTTTATTTTTCTATTTTTGTTTTTTATTTTTGTTGTTGTTAACTTCTAAACCTGCTTGTAGAGAGAGATGCGTCTTCTAATTCAATAAAGCTTTTGGTATGTACTTACTACTTTCCTGTACACTGTTATGTCATCAGCATATGCAAGATACTGAAAGGGTTGGTGGAAGAGAGTGCCCTTTGGTTGTCGATCTTGGGTTTCCCTCAGAAGGTGTCATACTATTGTTCTTCGGGTGTCAACATGTATGCTTCTTTTAGCTCTCTCCAATGTTAGGTTAAATAGGTTAAATTGTTCTTCGGGTGTCAACATGTATGCTTCTTTTAGCTCTCTCCAATGTTAGGTTAAATAGGTTAAAATATTCTTCGGGTGTCAACATGTATGCTTCTTTTAGCTCTCTCCAATGTTAGGTTAAGTAGCATACAAGACAGGTGGGTCTACTTGTCTTAGGTCTCGTCTAATCTGAAATTCCCTGGACTATAGACCATAAGCCTTGATTTTGATCTTTTAGCCGCTTAATGTTGTTTGTACAAGTCTTGTCAGTTTGTTGGGTATACCAACCTCCTGCAGAGTCTCATATATTTTCTTTTTTATGCAGTCATGTACAGCTTTATAGTCCACATAGAGTCGATGTACTGGGATATTATACTCATAACATTTCTCAAATAGGCATCTGGTGGTGAAAATCTGATCAGTCGTAGATCTGTTTTGTCTGAATCCACATGGGTAGTCACCAACAGGGACATTCCTCTGTAGTTTGGGCATTGAAGTTTCGAAACTATCTAGTGGGTTGTGTTTATTAATGATGTGTCCCATTCTGTTGGATTTTCTCTTTTTGCTATATTTTGGTTATAAGATTAAGTGTCTGAGTGTGTATTTTTCTTCCTCCATATTAATAAGCTCTTCTGTGTTGAGGTCTCCCAAATGGCTTTGTGGCTTTTCATAGAATTGAATACTTCTGTAGTTTCTTTCAAAGTTGGGGAGTTTATTGAAAGGGTCTTGTCCCCAGCAGCACCACAGAAACAAAATAGAAGTGGGGGCTGTGATACGGCCCTAAAAAACGAAGACCTTCACAAATAAATTTTTACAAAAATAAGGTTTTTATTTGTAAGATCCTTTATATTATTTGATCTCCACAGTGACCAAGTATTTCTAAGGAGAGCTTACCATTATGTCCGGCCAACTAAAAAGCCACCGGTCAATTACTGCCCAAGTTGTGTTGTACATCTTTCTCACGCTTGGCCCGACGTTAACTGGTTCGGATAATGGCGTGCACGAGAAGAAGATCTACGGCAACTGGCAAGTCCGACAGGTACGGTATAGATAGACAGAATAAGACTGATAGGTTTAGACTAACACGGGTGGGATAGATAGATAGAATAGGACTGACAGATTTAGACTCACACGGACAGTAAATATAGATAGAATAAGACTGATAGATTTATACAAATATAATTCCTAAATTGTCAGAAAACTTTAATAATCGTATGTCTTTATGAAAAAGTTTTTGTTTTTTTTTTAAAAAAAAGCTTTAAAGCGTTCATACTAAATAATAGTTGAAATGAAAGTATGTCTTGGACTTAAGAGACAGACAGAAAGTTATCTCATAGAATCAGTTAATGAAGAAATTATGTTTTTGGGTTGTTCTTTATTCTTAAGTATTAAACTTTCTTTTTCACAAATATCTCTAAAGACCAGTTATTCTTGTCACTCTCAAAGACCAGTTATACCACCCTTGATCTAGTTTAACTGGTAGATGGGACATAATTGGTGGAGCAATTGGTCATAACCGGTGGTGCTATGGGTCATAACAGGTTGAACCATAGGTCATAACTGGAGGAACCATGGTACATTAAAGGCGGAGCTATGGGCTATAATAGGTGGAACCGTGGGTCATAACTGGTGGAGCCGCATGGGTCATAACCGGTGGAGCCATGGGTCATCCTCGCTTGATAATTCATCATCTCCCTTTATTTCTGAATACAATTATTATTAGTCTTGAAGCTTGTTCGGCAGATAGTCTCTGCTTTCGGTTGTCACTTGATGTGAAAGCCATTTTGTTCAGGTAAACAAAGTTTTAGCGAAATTTAGCTGTCACAAAAAGCATAAATATCTAGGGGTAAAATTGCGATTAAAATAAAAAAACAAACTCCTAGCACGTTTGAAAAATGTAAACACCGGAAGAGGATTCGGAAATATTGGTTTGGACAAAATACCGAATTATTTATATAAAATCCCAACATCAAAGAGTCACTGTAATACGCCACAAGGACTGGTTCGCGTCAAAACGGGACCGGCGGAAAGCCAGTTGGACTGAGCGCGTCGGACTTAAAACAGTTACCAATATATATTACATATGTAGGACAGCACCTCTCTTTATCAAACAGAACCAGCGGTACTGCAGGCAAGTGTTGTACTGTGAGTTCCGTGAGGCCAACTGTGCACAGGTGACAACAGCCAACACATGGACGTGTAACAGAATCAACGCGGAGATTGCTGAGAAAGGATGCGTCATGAGAAGTAATATACACACTACAATCCTTTGATGTTAACATCGCCTGCCTTTCGAACATCACCTTTGACAAAATTCTTATACAATTATATCTATCTACTTCTCTCTCTCTCTCTCTCAATCTCTCTCTATCTCTTTCTCTCTCTATTTCTCAATTTCTAACACACTGTCTTTCACTCATCCTCAAAAAAATAATGTATATCTCCCCTTTTGTATTTCGCCCCACTCTTTCTTTCTATATTTCTATTTCTCTCTCTATATATATATATCTCCATATTCATGAGTTTGGCAAATATCTTTAATAGTAAACGCTGTTGCTGTTGCTGTTGTTGTTGTTGTTTTTGTAACCGAGTAGCACCCCATTCAAAGGTCATTACAGCAGCAGCGAGGCAGTTTACCATGATTTTACTTTACATTTATTATAAAAAAAAAATATCTACTTTTGGTTTATTCCCAGTTTGTAAAACCGATCTTAAAATGGTGTGTTCTGCGACTTCCCCTGGCGCTGAGTACCAAGAGGTGAGTAGGTTGCTGTCGTCCCAACAAGATCATTTCGTTCGCCTTATGTGGATTGAAAAGAAAATTTCTCAAGTGATATAAATTATTTCAAAATTATTTCAATGTTCTTATAAAGACTCACAAAGACTTTCTAAGATTAAGCACACACATACTCCAAATTCGAAGGTGGATTCGAAAGAAATTATTCATAAGTGAGTGAGTACACATTTAATATAGAGTATGACGTCATTGATAAAGAAATCACCTTTTATAAAGAAAAGGAACGTTTTTTTTTTTTTCAATAAAATAACAATTGTCCGAGCAGCACTTCACTTCATGCAGCAACACAGCAGCCGCACTATCTTGTGGATGGCTGGTCAAAAGAAATACATTGGAGCTCGTTTCATTCTCACGTGGGATATGTGGCCTCTGACGATTGTTTCAAAAGTTACAGCTTCAAGAATATGCTAACTAATCAAACGTAGCAACGCCGGCCTTGGGTCCTTTTTTTTTTTCGCCCTGTGCGAAGCACCTTTTTGGCGCCCCCTTCCCTGTCCCTTATGGCCCCGCTCTTTTTTCCGATGAAGACGAAGGCTATGGAGCACGTGTTATGATGCTATACATGTAGCTAACCATACGCATTTTAACGTGCATATTAATGTAGACGGTTTAGTTTTTCTACGGTACTTTGTTCCATTTCCACACCGCCCTTGTGGCTGGGCTACCAGTCAATTTTTTTTTAAATTCCCAAGATTAGGTCAAAACATTTCCCAAGATATCCCAAGATCATGAAAATACACAAGAGCTTGTTTTTTTTTTTAAAGGACCTTTCAAGGGGGGGGGGGGGTTGTTTTTTTTTTAAAAAAGCGAGTTTTGGCTCTGAATGAGGTAGTGAATTCCCAAGATCTTGGGAAATTTCCCAAGGTGTGGCAGCCCTGCTTTGGGGTCGTCAATAATCTGCCCCTTTGAGGTTGGAACTATCATCGCGTTTATTTTTTTTTTTTAAAGAGTATCCCCAGGTGCCCCTATGGCCAAGGTGCCCCTATGGCCAAGGTGCCCTGTGCGAGGGCACAGGTCGCACACCCTAAAGGCCGGCGATCAACGTATATAGGTTTAACTTGTGTGTTTGGATTTAAAATGGGGAAACAATGATGTTTCTGGTTTTAATTTTTGTTTCCCCTCCGAATACACTGATGCCTCTTATAAATTGAAACGAGTCCCACCTTCTAATCATCGCTTTTGATTAAGTAATGTATTGTTCGTTTGGGTTAACTTTGGGTTAATGCTTAATTACTTTTTGTCCACAAGACGAGCAGTGACAGCTGCCCTTTGGGAGAGAAGTGCTTTGTCAACGTGACGCCTCAGACGAACACGCTAGTCCCATTAAACACCAGTCCAGCATCGCTTAAACCTGGGGCCTCCACACCATCACCAGCTGCTTTGATGCCATCACCTGCGTCTGGTCCGACGGTCACAACCGTCTCTTCAACACAAAATGGTGCAGCGCCGCTTGCAGAAACTGTACCTGGACTGTCCACATCACTTGGACCAGGGGCAACAACAGCATCTGTACCTGGTTCTACCCCTGCCTCTATACCTGAGGCCACCACCGCCCCTGTACCTGGGGAGACCACTGCCCTTGTACCTGGGGAGACCACTGCCCCTGTACCAGTGGAGACCACTGCCCCTGTACCTAGGGAGACCACTGCCCCTGTACCTAGGGAGACCACTGCCCCTGTACCTAGGGATACCACTGCCCCTGTAACTGGGGAGACCACTGCCCCTGTAGTTATGGAGATCCCTGCTCCTAGACCTGGGTAGACCCCTGCCCCTGTACCCGGGGAGACCCCTGCCCCTGTACCCGGGTAGACCAATGCCCCTGTAACTGGGGAGCACCTTCCAACTGTAGTTTCTTCAAACCTCGACCCTGGCATGCCACCTATGCAGCAAAACGCCGTGATGATGATCGTCAATTGACCAGTAACCTAATAAGTTCACATCCGGTCGGCCTCGTCTTGACCAGTAACCTAATAAGTTCACATCCGGTCGGCCTCGTCTTGACCAGTAACCTAATAAGTTCACATCAGGTCGGCCTCGTCTTGACCCTAAACAATCTCATCTGATCATTGTATACAATCTCATGTCATGGCTGTCAGCAGATTGATCTGATAAACCTTAAGGCTTATTAATCTGTAATTTAATAAAAATCAAATCAATTAATGTGCTTCAGGTTATATCATGCTTACGTGAAAGCCGTCAAAATAAAGAGAAACTTCTCTTAAAATCAAGGTCATATTTTTATTTGCTGTGAGGCCAAGCTTGCGGTATTTCACGTAATGGTCTTTACGTCACGTGAGTTTGTAAGGTCAAAATTATGGAAATGTCACGTGTGTTTTTAAGGTCACGTGTGTTTGCGATGTGGCTTTTGCGTTTGAAAAGTCACACGTGTTCTTAAGATCACATATGTTCGTAAAAGACGCATGTGTCTCTAAGGTCTCATGTCTGTTACTGAGGTCACGTGCGCTTGTGGGTCACACAAACAAAAAAAACAAAAAAAAAGAAAAGACAACCCCTGACCTGTCTCCAGGCCACTCTGATCCGGGTCTGATTGTTGAGCCGGGCACTGACAGACGTAAGCCTTGCCTGCTTGGCACCTGAAAGGTGGCAGAGTTTGATATGTCTCATAAAGTGGGTCGTCGCCATCGCCATTTTTAATGTACCGTTGACAAGCTTTAGCCTGCGAGCCATCTCGTGACAAAATCTAGAAATACTGGTTTTCAAAAAAAAAAACCTCAAAACTCACTTGTGTGAGTTCAAAGGTAAGTCTTTCTTTAAACAAAAACAAAAAAAAAACCTCAAAACTCACTTGTGTGAGTTCAAAGGTAAGTCTTTCTTTAAACAAAAACAAAAAAAAAACCTCAAAACTCACTTGTGTGAGTTCAAAGGTAAGTCTTTCTTTAAACAAAAACAAAAAAAAAACCTCAAAACTCACTTGTGTGAGTTCAAAGGTAAGTCTTTCTTTAAACAAAAACAAAAAAAAAACCTCAAAACTCACTTGTGTGAGTTCAAAGGTAAGTCTTTCTTTAAACAAAAACAAAAAAAAAACCTCAAAACTCACTTGTGTGAGTTCAAAGGTAAGTCTTTCTTTAAACAAAAACAAAAAAAAAACCTCAAAACTCACTTGTGTGAGTTCAAAGGTAAGTCTTTCTTTAAACAAAAACAAAAAAAAACTCAAAACTCACTTGTGTGAGTTCAAAGGTAAGTCTTTCTTTAAACAAAAAAAAACAACAGATAATTCAGTGTATTTTGGGTAATAAAATTTGACTCGTAAATTCCCTCTTGTATTAAAGATAAATCCATTATCAGAGAATACAACGGGCTCAGTGCCCAGTCTATTTTTTCAATTCTTGAAACCATTTTCTGCCTTCGTTTCCACAGTCATCAGTTGCGATAGATGGTTTTTTATTGTTTACTAAAAAAAAAATTCTATTTCAAGAACTGATACTTTAAGGAAAAAAAATACACATTTTAACATAAATATTACTGAAAATAATCATTACAGGTATGTTGCTTGGTATGTAATTAGAATCTGAGATACAAAAATAGTTTTTTTGAGTTTTATTGCATTACATCCCTTCCGCTCAACAAAAAGAGAGCAGGTAAGGGTGGTGAGCCGGGCTCCCCAACGCTTGCTTGCGGATCTTGCGCCCTTAAAGACCAGTTAAACTTTTGATTTTCTACAACCGCTATTTCTCTGTTAAGTCTTTTTTTAAAAATATATATGTATAGTTTAATGCTGCTGTTTTATCATGTGATAGTGTATTTGGGCCAGAAATAATCAACTTATATCATTCACTTATATTTAAATGTAGAGTTTTGGGAATAAAAAGGGCACCTATTTTTTTTTTTTTTTTTTATTCAGGGAAATTAAAAAAATAAAAAATAAACTTTAATTTAACAAAAAAAAAATAAAAAAAAAAAAAACAAAATTTTTTTAAAAACCCAAACAAAAAAAAAAACAATTAAAATTTTTTTTTTTTTTTTTTTTTTTTTAAATTAAAATGGTTTATTTTTTTTTTTTTTTTTTTTTTTTAATCCAGGAAACTGAAAAAATACAAAACTAACATTAAGTGTACCAAACAAACATTAAAAAATAACAAACCAACATTTTTTTAAAATCCCAACAAAAAGAAATACCATTTAAAATACCAAACTAAAATTTAAAGATACCAAACTGACATTAAAAAATACCAAACTAACATTAAAAAATATCAAACCAACGTAAAAAATAGCAAACCAAGATAAAAAATACCAAACTAACATTAAAAAATAACAAACAAACATTTCAAAAAATCCCAAACAAACATTAAAGTAAAAAAAAACAATATTAAAAAACACCAAACCAATATAACATTAAAAATACCAAACCAACATTAAAAAATACCAAACCAACATTAAAAAATCTAAACCAATATAAAAGAATATTTTCCAAAAACATTGCACCTGTAGTTCTTATTGAATGTTATTTTTTTATTATTGCCACTCCCATACTATTCATCAAATTATTCAAATTATGAAATCCATATAGCTGGATTCATTAAACATCTAACTAAATGGTACACAACTGGCTTGCATTAAAATACTTAATTAGTGGGCTGTAGAAAAATTTGCTCAGGTAATTAAAAACAAAGGGTTAAAAAAACACATTAAACATATTACAGAATACATAACAGTCTGGACAAAAATCTGTAAAATAGAGTAAAGTTGAGTTAATCTACAGAAAGGAAATAGCAGTCTCAAGTCAAAAAAACTTTGTCTTATAATTAACCTTTTAAATTACTGTAAAACTCGAAAAAAAAAAAGTAATCTAACAACAAGAAATTAATTATTTTTTGTGTGAAATTAACAATTCAATCATTTCCCGAAATCTCTTGTGTAGACCTATTGTCTACCTAATGTATACTAATAACACGGACAAATAATCCTAAATTGAATTGAAGTGAGGTCATTTCTTTTTTAATTAAAAATTTTTAAAACAATTTTTTTACCCCAAACTTCAGTTGGTCAAAGATTTAGTCTATTTTTGGCCCATCAGTAGAAATGCGCCCCCCCCCCCACTTTTCCTCTTCCCCAGGTTTAAACTATTATTGACTTATAATGATTTAACTTATTTCAGAGAGAGAGATAGAGAGAAGGGGAGAGAGATAGGGGTGATAAAGAGAGAGAGAGAGAGAGAGAGAGAGAGAGAGAGAGAGAGAGAGAGAGACGGTGTCAGGAGATAGGTTAACAACATAGAGCAGATGAGACTTATTGTCTGCATTCAAATATTTTTGCTGCTTTCACTAGGAACACCAACGTCTTTGCTCTGGTGACTGAATTTATCTTTCTCTAATGTTTCATTTCATTGAAGTAACGAAATACAACTTTGTAATGGAGCAACCCTTAAAAGAAATCTTTTTTTTTTTCCCTTATAAATCCTTTATAATATGTAACATAGAACAATAAAATTCCCAACTGTGGTGAATAAGGCCTCGATGCAGCCAAACTATAATTATGTCACCGACCCTTCGTCATTGTCTCACACTGTCATCTAAGCTGATACAGCTATGGCCCGCCAGTGTCTATTTCAGTGTCTATTTTAACATTTTGCACTGTGCTAAAGTGTTAGCACACTCACACGATTTTTTGCGGTTAGCGAAAATTTGTATTAAAAAAATTTCTGCGACGGAAAATTGATCGACGGAAATTTGATCGAACGGAAATTAGATTTTTTTTTTTTCAGTGCACACGTTAAAATTTTGTTTCGAAATTCTTTTTGAACGCCCTATGCTATATAGTTAAACAAAATAATGCTAATAAATAATAACAGACCCTTACTCATAGTAGAAAGGCGACAGTCGTATAAGACCGCAAAATAAAGAGGGGTAGCGTCTTGCTTAAATCATAGTTCAGAATCGTCTGTATTGTGTCCTTCTTGTACTTTGCACATGTTCTTTGAGTAATTATATTTCCGTAACAGCCATCCATATTTCGTGGTACATCTTTTTCAGTAGTTCTCAATCATATTTCATGCCTATCTTTTAGTATATTTGTGAATATCTCATCTTATGCTCCCTAGTGTTGTTCGAAGCCCTTGAGTGTATCTTGTGATTGCGTGTTGTTTCGAGAGTATTTTGGTGGATGTTGATATTAAATGTTTGGTATTTCGTGACGCATTGTGCGCAATGGGGGAAATGAATGATACAGTAGCTTTCGTCACTTTGAGTTAACTTAAGGATTTTATTTCGTCTGTTGCATCTCTGTTGGGCTTCTTCGGGCAGATCAAAACAAGGCGGTGTCTGAGGCATTGTATAGAGTTTAGACAAGTTGTCACTTAGCACGAAGGAGCTCGTGACAGTTGTAACTGTTGTGCTGATGATTTATGTCAAGCTACTGATGTCGTGAGACATTGGCGATGCCGGAGTTTTAATGACTGATTTGGCCTCTTGAAATTAATTCTTCGAAATCTGTCCAAATAGGTATTACTGTCAATTAGAAGAAATTATTGTGATTGTAATGAAACAAGAATTATTTGTAAAATAGGAGTATTGGTGATTTCGGGTAATTGTTTATAAACCACGGTTGGAAATTTTCAAACCTACTCACTTAGATCAATTTAATTTTTTTTTACCTGGCTATAATTAAATTTAAAAAAAAACTTCTTTACTTTAATCCATTGTTGGCCAGGCAATAGACTCTGGGCACAAAAACAAGAAGAAAAAAAATAATAAGAAAAAAAAATATATATTTTGATAAACTTGTATTGCAGAAAAATACTTTTCTAACGACACTCACACCTTCACCACAGAAAAATGCTTTCGTAATGTCACTCTCTCTCTTTCCCCCCCCCCTCTCTCTCTCTCTCTCTCTCTCAACAAAAAAATACTTTGTCAAGCTTCTTTCCCCCTGGCTATAATTAGACAAATGCCTTTCTCTTTAATCCAGGGGTGTCGAACTCAATCGCTCGGAGGGCCAAAACTCAAATCAAATGTAAATTTTCGGGGCCGAACCAGAAAAACATTCAATTAACGGAAAATTAAACTTTAAAAAAAAAAATTATATGAAGGAAAACAGAAGAAATTTTTTTAATAATTAAAAAGCATTGGCATACCAATTTTCGTTCTTATGACAATTTGTCAGAGCTGGGTGTCTGGCACATTTTCTTGGCTACAAAAACAAGTAACGTTCTGTGTCATTGAGATTGTCATGATGGACGGC